AAGAATCAATTAGCTGTTTACTCATGTTTGCATTTTAACTATTATTCCCGTATTTGTGTGATTAAAATTTTAAACTTCTGAGAACTTTATAACAGTTTTAACACAAAGAGATTTAACATTACTTAGTTATTAGGCAAGAGAAAGGCAAACAAGACCTTCATCCTTCCCCCAGCACTAGTTAACATGTATTTTACAGTTTTATCATAAAATACTTTTCTCACTGATAAAATAAATTAATAAAATACATTCAAAGAAATAAAGCAAGCCATAAAGTTTTGTGCTTCATCAAGCTCTGGGAACAGCAACGTTCTAGCGTGAAGTGGGCAAACCATCAGAAGAAGGAGGAAGGGTAAAGTCCAGATGACAAAGCTTCCATTTCTGAATCAACTTCCACTACTGTCCTAAGCACCGGGTTTTCCAGCATACCAAGCAGGACAGCAGCTCCCAAGAGACTCACAGGGGAAAACATCAAGATTCACAAGGGGAGACTCTGACTTCTGGAGGGAAGCTGTGCTCACCGAGGAAGACCAGGTTCCTGTAGTTCTCCAACATCACATCCCTGTACAGAGCCCTCTGAGCAGGGGCCAGGTATGACCATTCCTCCTGAGAGAACTCTACAGCCACATCCCTGAATGTCAACAGTCCCTGCAATAGAAAACACATCTCAACTAGTGGACAAGATGAAGTTCTAAATGTCAAGAAAATAAGAGAGAAACATATACAAATCAAAATGATGTGAACGTTGTGACAGATCCATGTAAGATAATGCAGCAAGCGTTTTATGTCCCTACTTTCATCTTGTCCTATTTTTCTACCAGAGAATATGAAATCCATGCAATCATTTTTCTGGACAACAAAGACTCTTATCTCAGGGCAAGCAAGTAACAGGAGGCAGAGCCAGCACATGCACAAGGGAAGACAGGCTACAGCACTGAATCTTAAGAATCACACAGATCAGTAGCAGATACGGCAATAAAAGGATGCTCATAAAGGAATTCCAGCAGCGCCAAGGAAACGCATGAGATGTGTTACATCAGCCATGTCCACACCCGGCAGAAGAGCCCTCTCTCTGGAAGAGAAATGAGTTGGAGCTGAGAGAAGATGTCCTAACATGCATGAGCGAGGTGACTACTTGAGTCTAGGAAATGAATGGCAGTTGGGGAGGTGCACCCCATTCAGACAGACATTCCTCTTTCGCCCACTGAGGCACAAAATGCCAAGAACTGTTCTGTCTCCAGCAAGAGACACACAGACTGCAGATGGCTAAGGGGCAGATTCCCAGGGGAAGGCCCAGCACAGAGCTGGCAGGGCAGACTGGTGTAGGGAGCCCGGTGCTACAGGGCTTGCTCATGCTGTGGTAGATGCCAGCATTCGGAGGGCTGGTGAAGAACCTGAAGAGAAGATCCTGTGATGGGGACCGCTGAGCCTCTCTGCCCAAGCAAAGGAACATATCAGAGCAATGGTTCGATGGACATTGGGAATGGCCAACTGAAACACTGCTTATCTAAAACAGGGAGACAAGGCGCGGAGGCCTGGCTCCCCCTTCACCAGCGTGTGCTCACACTCAGCACGAGGAGGGCAAAGGGAGACTCGGAATGGACAGATACCTCTGACCTTTCTGGGGGGTCTGGGGGAGGGGGGAGGGAAGATGCTGCTCTGACTGTATCCTTCTTCCCCTATGACTTCAATTTCCTCTC